ATCTATCTATCTATCTATCTATCTATCTATCTCTATCTATCTATCTAGCTATCTATCTAGCTATCTATCTACCTACCTATCATCGATCTATCGATCATCTATCGGTATATCTAATCTATCTAATCTGTCTATCCATTTATTGGATTGATCTGTGTACTGCCCATCTGGTCTCGAGGGGACTGTCAAACTAGCAGTCTTCTCTTCTCCATTCAATGCAGTTCCACTATGCAGGAAACAAACAGTCCAATAGCAATGAAGTTAATATAATAAATACATTACACACGCAATTTCCCCCACAATTTCCCTTACCTCTGTTTAGTACCAACTGAATGAATTTGAGGCCTGGGCCCTCAGGTTTGCTGGACTGCCAAATGTGAGGGAGTATGGAATCTGTTAGGAATGTGAGTCACCTAACAGCTATTTGGGATGGAAATATATAAACCAGGATAGACATTTTAATACTGTCTCTTTAAGAGAATGCAAAAACTGCAATTGGGTGTGTTTCTGCAAATGGCCATAAGATGGAGCCAGAAACCTGGGTTGTGTTAGTGAGACTAACAGAAGATAGTCTCAGTGAAGTGAGTGAGTCTCTGTTTTCCTTCTGTTGGAAAGAGTTGCCATTCCTCCATTTTTCCCTATTGACTGTTATTCTTGGATTTGATGTAAGTCTGTTACTGAACTGTTTTTGGATACTGGACTTTGATATTCGTATTATCCCTGGACTGAACACGGACTCCTTTACCGGTGAATGACTTGGACTGTGTGTGGACTTTGCTTAAACGTTTATTGAACGTAAAAACCTACATTAACTGTACAGTGTATCTGTGTGCTGTGTGTATATTATTCAATACTTCTCTCACTACGTCTCCCTGTATGCGCTCATTCTCCTTACAGGGAATTACCTCAACAGAATCCAGTAGGGGGAGTTCAGGTTGGATTCCAGCAACAAGAATTTGGGGTGCACTGCACACAACCAAGCAGTAGCAGAGAGTTTTGTGTGTGTGTCTCTAAGGCAGGGGTGGGCAACTATGGCCCTTTTATGAATTATGGACTTCAACTCCCAGAATTCCTGAGCAAGCATGGCTTGCTCAGGAATTCTGGGAGTTGAAGTCCATAATTCATAAAAGGGCCATAGTTGCCCACCCCTGCTCTAAGGGATGCTAAGTGTCCTGTGGCTAGTCAGGGGCAGCTGCTTCAAAGATACCTTGCAATGCTCAGGGCAGTAAAACGGATGTGCTGTTCCACCAGTGCCCATTCAAGTCACAATCCACACTTAATAGGAGTGATTAGAGTTCTTCCACATAACCACAGATCAGGAAAAAAAAAAGTCTTACATAAAGCACAGCTCTCAGTCTTTCCCCTCATGATCAGCTTCTCACATCTGATAACCATGCAAATAGGTGCTGTGCCCTGGATAGGCCAGATTCTGATTTTACTTTTACACATGTCTTATGAGAACACAATTACTGAATGAGGTTCTACCTGTTTTGCACATTCCCAATTATTTCAGGTGGGTTTAATGGTTTTTTTTTTTTTGCTCAAGCTAGCCACACAGCTTTTACATAGTGAAAGAAACTCAGTTCTGAGCAGATTAAAAGAGAATTAGATGTTCCCATCAAACCCCTGAGGTAAAACTTAAGATAATGGCTTCTAAAAACCAGAGGATGTGACTTTTCAAGTAAGGGGAATGTACAGCATGTGTAAATAAATACCCACACATATAAAATGCACACAAATATAATATACCCATCATCATGTATTCAGGACGATTTCCCTTTTTGCAAATACAGTTAAAGAAAGGTATTGATCTGAGTGATTTGAGACCCCTCAGAGAGCTGTGAAAATACAGTATTTCCAACATTTTAGCAAGGATTTGTAATATAACATCTAACAACAAATACAATTTAAAAGTTTTTCCCATCCAAATTAGGGGGAGAATGCTTGACCCCAAAGTAGTATAGGTGGTCCTCCACTTACAACCATTCGTTTAGTGATTGTTCAACATTACAACCCACTGAAAAAAGTGACTTGTGATTGTTTTGCCCACTTACAACCGTTGCATCATTCCCATGGTCACGTGATCAAAATCCAGGTGCTTCAAGACAGCTGCACTCTTCTGGGGTCATGTGACCACCATTCGTAACCTCCCCAGCCAACTTCTGACACAAAAGGTCGGTGGGGGAAGCCGGATTATCTTAACAATGGCACAACACACTTAACAACCATGACAAAAAGGTCATAAAGTGGGCAAAACTCACTTAACAACTGCCTTGCTTAGCAACGGAAATTTCCGGCTCAATGGTGGCCATAAATTGAAAACTATTTTGTGTGAAAGAAGTTCTCAGCTGTTTCTTGTATTCAAAATGTCCTGGGGAAGCACCTTCCCTTTAATCTTAATTCTGTTTCCCCACAGTTTCCCACCTGTTTGTAGATGAAACAAACCAGTAAATTATCCGTGTTGTATTCAATTAATAAATGAATTTATTTGAAACACTTACAGTCATGTAAGACCCCAAAAATAGATTTGCTGTTTAAAACAGTGGTCGCCAACCAGTGGGCCGGGGACCACTGGTGGTCCACAAGAAAATTTTGGTGGTCCACAGAGAAATTACCCCCAAAGCAATTAATCCAGGCTGCGCAGGAACACAAGGCTGTGCCGCCCACATGGCCCGTGGGAACACAAGGCTTGCGTCACTTGCATTGCTAACAACATGAGCTAGTGAGGGGAAGGGTAGAGGGGTGGAACTTGCCCCACTCGCCCCACGTGTCTGGCTTGGCCACCAGGTAGCTTCTTTCTGCTTCTTTCTTCTTCTGTTTTTGGCTGCACACAAGGAAAGCAGAAAAGTCTTTCTTTCTCTCCCCTAAACTCTGCCAGAAATGAGTCTTTGGGACCCTGCAAGGCATCCTGCTCCAAGAGGCTGCACCAGTGTGACAAGTCTCACAAAGACTCATTTCTGGTGGAGTTTGGAGGGGAGAAAGAAAGACTTCTGCTGCTTCTGCTGCTTTCCTTGCATGAAGCCAAAAGTTTCTCTCTCCCCCCCCCCTCCCCGAGAACGGACCTGGAGACAGTATCCTGCAATCCAAATAAAGAATGATTGATCAGTAGGAAAACCGGGTGGGGAATTTTCCTGCAGACTTTTTTGGAGATTTTTCCCAGGATCTCTGCTGCTTTCTGCAAAGACCCTGGGAAAATGTCAGCAAGCCACTGTCAGTCAAAATTCATATTAGTGGTCCACAAATTTAAAATTATGAGTTTGTTGGTTCCTGAGGTCCAAAAGGTTGGTGACCCCTAGTTTAAAATGTGTACCGGAATTGCAATGTCTAAGGTTGATTCCGCCATCTGGTGGCAAGTAAAGAATATTCTTGTCCTGAATGGCTTTGAACCAAAACTGCTTCAAAGCCTATTTCCATCTTTTTAAGTTTCCCTGGTAGTAATCTTAGCTTTACTATAGAACATGCTTGCATGGCATACTTAACTATGGTTAATGTATGGTATAAACCATGGTTAAACAATTCTATTGCTTGTTACATTAACTCAATTTTCTGGGTACCTATAGCCCAATCAGCCATACATTAGTCAACACTCTAGGTTAAAATATGGCCAGCTGATTTTGGTTCAGTATGATATCCTTTTCAGGCTTTCACTAAAGCTGACTAACCAGGTTGTATTTTAGTCCTGGCCCACATATGAAAGTTTTCTTCTCCAAAGCTCCACCAGCCCCTTCTCTTTCAATTCTTAAACAGACCCTCCCAAGAATTTTTTTTTATACCAGTTAGTCCACTGAAGTAGAGATAAGCTACATATCTACAACCAGGCATGACTGATATGTTTTAAAGCAGCTGTTTTTTTTAAAAAAAATTCTAACCTATCTTGAATAAACCTGTTCTAGAAATATTAAAATTTGCTACACACATCAAAATCAAGACTTCAAGATTCCATTCATTTCCATAAGCTTATTATTCTCCAAGTAATACCACTCTTGACCTCAATAGGTAGTTTACACTAATGTGGTTACTTTAGTTTTGGTAACTGGTGGCTTTTTTTTCTCCCTTCAAGTCAGCGTTGATTCCTAACAACTGCCTGGACTGGTCTTTGCACTTCTCTTTGCAATGTTTTTGCAAGACGCTTGCCATTGCTTTTATCCTAGGGCTCAGAGAGAGTGACTGACCTAAAGTCTCTTAATTGGTTTAATGCCTAAGGCAGAACTGAAACTCAGTCTTTTGGTTTCTAGGCAGATGCTTTAAAGCAGGGGTGTCCAGCTTTGCTGGCTGAGGAATTCTGGGAGTTGAAGTCCACAAGTCTTAAAGTTGCCAAGGTTGGACACCCCTGCTTTAAACCATCATAACACTAATTTTCTGCTTAGTATATTATGAACCTAATTGACAGAACTGCTCCTTAAAAGAGAAATATGTCATCAACTCAGACAAAGCAAACGTTCCTTTAGCAAGGTAGTAGAGTTCAAATTATGCTTAATGAAGCTCTGAAATATATGTACTTTCTCAGCAAAATCACATTTGACCCCCCCAAAAATTCATCTTATTCCCCAATAAATAGAATTCTGCTAAGCTACGGAAGATTGAAAACATGAAATAAATTCCTTTCTCGGATAGATGTTAGTTTAATACCTGTGTATTCACAATGCCTACAAATTGAATTGTTTTCAAA